TTCCTATTTTCTATATATTTTCACACACACACACACACACATATATATATATATATATATATATTAGGAATTGTGAAGAATTTTAGTTATAATCCAGCATTATTTCTTATTACTTTATATGTTATAGCGACAGACATGATATGCATTTCTTAAATGAAATAAAAATAAACGCGTTTCTTCATTGGTGTAAATGAACTTTGTTCTCTGGGAAAATTGCTCTTGGCTAAATGTGGTTAAAGCCCAACGGTTTATACGGCTCTTCCTCTACTGGGACAACGCAGGCTTGAAATTTGTCAGAAGCTAGAAATTCTTTATTAAAAAGTTTCGAATCCGCAGGCTGAGAGACAAATTTCCACTGTTAAAAAAAACTAGAACAAAAGACAAGAACCAAAAAAAAGTGTACTCAAACAGTCGGGTCTAATAAATACAATATATATATATATATATATATATATATATATATATATAACGCTTTCTTCGCCTGTGGCAGAAAGCTCAGCTCACACGACTGAAGATTTTCAGCCATGTGCTTTTCATGGCCCTGATGCACCCCAAAGGTGTCTCAAAGCTGCTGGGAGATGAACTGGATTTATCGAGTCACCATTTCTAGACAGGTTGCCACCTAAGTCTATAGAACCAAGTGTGTCCTGCTATTTACTCATACCCGCGTGGGTTGGGGAGAAATGGATGCATAATTTTTCCAAGAGTATTAGCACGTAAGTGAATGTAATGGATCAAACTCCAATTCGAACTCGGCTACCCGATCCCTCAATAAGAGCAGCAATCCCATATATATATATATATATATATATATATATATATATATATGTATGTATATATATTGGCTCATGAAAAATTAATTTCAGTTGAGCTCTCTGGGGGAGGAGATGTGGGTTGGTAAACAGTGACTATTATAGCTATAGAGCGAGACTCTTCGCTAATGCGAATTGAGTCACTCCCGGTCACTGGGCGTGTTTATAAAGATAAACACGCTAAAAATCCACTTTACTCCCTACCGTGCGCCGATAGCTTAATGGTTAGAATCTCCGACTGACACCAGTTCAGTTGTGTTTCGAACCTAGCTGGAGGCAACCGGATGTCTAGCCACACTGATGAGCTGCGAAACAGTCTGTCTGTGGATGACGGTATATATATATGTGTATGTATAAAGAAATATACTTTTAAGTTTGCTATATTTATGGGATGAAATGCTCAATATCAGAGATAGAGCGTATGTAAATATAAATATAAAAGTGGACCTTGAAGTCAAAACTCAGAGGTGACAGGCTGTTTCTTGCTAGGCGAAATCTTCGATTACGCGTAACATGAAACAGCCTGTTGCCTCTGATTGTTGACTTCAAGGTTCACTTATATATATATATATATATATATATATATATATATCAAATGTAATATAAAATATTAAAACTGATCCAGAAAAAGTGCTCAATATATTTATTATTTCAGAGCAGAAATTAATAACAATAAAATCCATAATCACCTCATATAGGGGAAGAAGCTTATTTCAACCGACGAAAAAATATTCGTCAGTCTTATTCAACCCGGTATAGACTGGGTTCGTGTTGGAAGTAGAAATATAACCGTGAAAGCAACAAAAAATACTTCGAGAAACTAATACAGAATTTATCTATTCCAACGTTTCAGTCAGACGAAAGGCATGAGTCAGTGGTTAGGGGAGAGTGAAAGGGAAGAGCTTTTATAAAATTAAACCCGGATATTAACCTTTCTTCATTAAAATGGGGTTAATTTTATTTTTTCGTCGATTGAAGTAAGCTTATTCCCCTATATGAGGTGATTTTTTACATTATATATATATATATATATATATATATATATATATATATGTATGTATGTATGTATGTATGTATGTATATTAAGACATTTTTTTGTTTATTTACTCTTTTTTATACATACAAATATTTAAGTAAATGCTCTGTTTATAATAAACAGTATTAACAACATTTACCAGCCTGAATAAACTTATAAACAATATTATAAACAGAATATTTACTTAAATATTTCTATCTATAAAAAAGAATGTATAAACAGAAAAATGTCTTAAAATAATTGTTGTCTATTTCATAATGTGTGATGTCATTTGTTTACATTTGGATACGTATCGAGCAGATATGAATGTATGTTAGTTAATCATGGAAAATTGTAGTTTAAAAACAGTAAACCTTGCTAACCTAAACGCTCCTCTGCGGCAAAATCGGTAAAAGCACGTCAGGCTATATGACGGTTCCGTGTAGGATACAGGTTCGATTCCTGTCGGAGAAAAGCAAAGCCAAATCATTAAATAGGAAAAACCCTTTTTGTAGTCGTCAAAAAACAAAAAAAAACAAATTGAAATTCAGTGCAATGCGATCTGTATATAAAACACCCACTTGAATAAACAAATAAATAAATAGATAATCAGACGGACAATAATAAAAGACAATTCCCCAGACACATAACGATTGTAGGCGCGCCATAAAAATATCCCTCACTGGGAACTAACTAAAGGGTGACCGCAAACATTAGCCTTGAAATAGATACCCTACTCAACCTTACCAAAACCTCTTAGAAGATGATGAATCTATTGATAAGAATTAACTCTCTGACCACTTAACGAAAGAAAATAGTGTAGCCATTCCTACAATAACGAATTCTGTAACGGACCATGCCTAAAAACACACGTAAATCGAGAGATAGCTTATTCCTAAAATTTCGCTTGAAGATGAAACGGGACTAAACACCACAATCCAACTTAATTTTAATAATTATTTGGATATTTCGGCTCGTTTTGAAACATGAGAACTCTTATGTAGCGAAGGAATCATATTTTAAACAAAAATATTATTATAATATATATATATATATATATATATATTGACCACTAATATTATATATATATATGTGTGTGTGTGTGTGTGTGTGTGTGTGTGTTTGGGTTTTGAAGCTTTTCTGTAAACAACTTTCGTTAAATATAACCAACATGTTTTGACTGTTTAAGTGGTATTTTATTTATTTATTTATTTTTTATTTTATTTTATTTTATTTATTTATTTATTTTTTATTTTATTTATTTATTTTTTATTTTTATTTTTATTTTTATTTTTTTTTTTTGCTATTTTGAATACTAGAAGTACACGCAGAGAAAATAACAATACTTAAAACAAACCCCCGTGAAAATGGCTAAAGAAGTGTCCGAAAGCGCTTTGAACAATGGATAATATGAACTATTTTTAAACTCCCTTACACCCACCAAACGGAAAAACTGAATAAAAAAATTAATTACATTTTTCTCGTCTGTCATATTTAACGATACATTATTAACGATATATATATATATGTGTGTTTTTGTGTATGTGTGTGTGTGTGTGTTGTCATATCCAATAAATCAAAAACCAAGAAAAAAAGAGGAAAATGAAACATAAGCTAAGAAAATGGACAAAACAATAAACAATAATAAACTGTGCTCCATATCGAAGTCAACGCGTAACCTATATTTATTGACACTATTTTCCTAAAATCTTGGCATCGCCCGGTTTTATTGGTGAATAAGTACACTAAACGCGATGAACATTTCGACTAATTCCGCATATAGACATGACATCCTCAGATTTAAAATTAATAAACAGCGGTGGACAAAAGAATGGCAGAAATATAGCCGGTAAGCGGGCAAGGTGAATTTTAATATCTCTATTTAGATAATTGCTAGGCCCTACTCTGCAAATGGGTCATCTCCGAGTGATACAATTTTACCAGGGACACATTTGGGTGTCCATCAAACGGGAGACTGGTATTCCCCAAGTGATTCATTTTTTACGGCTTATCAACCCTTTGAAGGTTTTCTGAAAGCTACAAAAAAACATATATATATATATAGTGCTCTATCTCTGATATTGAGCTCTTTCTAATAAGTACCGCGCATATAATATATAAATATATATATATATATATATATATATATATACTTTTCATATATATATATATAGTGATATATGTCTTACTAATAAACCCATAACTGGGAGAAAAAATGGGGAATCTTGCTTTTCCCGAAGTTATTTGCTCCTCCTTGAATATAACCAACCCAACAGGAATTCAGTATCTGTTTATATTTATGAGATGAGGTATTATGTACACTATTTACATTATTCGGACTATCTTTATTGCCATATTTATCACGACGTTTCGGTTGTTGTATGCTCCGACCTTCTTCAGGTGTTTGGAATGTCGAACTGAACCCTTTGTTTCGCTTACTGTGGTAGACTGTTCTAGTTCCACGTACCATGTTTAATGGATGTTAGTTATCTCCTGTTAATTCCTCTCTCCAACCGTGTATTGAACTCACACTTTTTGGGTCCTGTCACTGGATCTAACCAACGCCTTTATCCATGTGCCATGTGCCCTTGAGAACATCTGTGTATGAATTTCTGGATATTATAAACTTAATGTCTTCAGCAACCATTTTTTTACCAGTGCTCATATTAAAATTTTTGCTCTTATCATTGCATATTTTACAAGAGCTCATATTGCAATTTTGTTGTTATTATCGCTTTTCTCTGGCACTCCTTATTACCGGTTCCCATATTGTATTCATTTCTACGTTTGGTCGGCTCAGGAGATTTTTGTGGCTTAGCATATGTGCTGATTCTTTAAGTTTACGAATTTTCCAATGGTGTTCTTTGTCTATGATCTCAACCTGATCCCATAGAGGGCGGTGATCTCCCTTTTCTCTCCACATGTGGTCAGCCACGCCTGATTTTTCTATTTCCCCTCATGTTTCTGGTGTTCTTGAAGCCTTACCTTAAGGGGACGGCCCGTCTCTCCTTTATATTTCTTTCCGCAGCTGCACGGGATGACGTACACACAGTCCTTAGTCATGTTCTCCTCTATGTGAGATATCTGCGAAGTGTCGTCCAACGGGAATTGGAACTCGGCCCTCCAATTAACAGTACGGAGCTATTATCTATCACACCATCCGCATATTTAAGCTTACAGCACCTGATATTCCCAAGCGGTCACTCATGGCCAGGCTCGATGTTGCTTAACTTCGGTGATCGTATGGGAGCCGGTGTTTCAACCTGATGTGACTTTAAGCCCTATATTCCAAAAAGGTAAAAGTGCTAAAGATTATCTGATAAATCATGGAAAATAAAGACAGTCTTACCAGTGATTCTTGGAGTGCTTGGAACGCTTCCAACAAAGGTTGGATAAGTGGAAGAGACGGGGACATCTATATAACTTCAATATTTCAAACAGCTTGAATCCCGAGTAGAATGCTGTAATATTTTGTAGATTGGTAGTGACTTATTCTCTAGTGTAGGTTTCTATTTACTACGCGTGTCAAAATTCAATAAGTACGGTATTAAGAACTGTGTTGTTGGTTAAAGGAACAGCAGACAGCAGGAGATTGGGGGAGGGGATAGAGAAGACGAATTGACAATTCTCTTTATCGAAAGTTTGTGACATTTTAGTGTGTGTGATAGCTTCGACGTCTACAAAGTTTTGCGACAGTGGAAGCCATTTGTCACGATCGATGGTCATGTTCGATGATGTCTCTTTCACGATACTATTGTTTACGGGGAAGCGACCTATCTATTTTGATCGCAACATAAACATATTAGAGCTTGACTTTTTCTCTCTCTCGTCCTCTCTCTATCCAAACAAAAAAGACTATCTCATTTAAAGTATTCGCTTATTTTTATTTTATTTTTTATTTATTTTCGGGCATTTTATTAGGTTTTCCTTCTTTATTTTCTATTCTAGTGACTCGTGAGACCCTACTTACCTTTAAGTGTAGGTCTTCCTGGAATATGAGTCTTTAAATGATTCTAATGTGCGAGTTTCGTGTTACTTGTTTGTATTTTTTTTATTTCTCTTCTCTCTGGGATTCTCTCGTTTTTTGTTTTTTTTTGTTTTTGTTTTTTTGGGAGTTTTTTGTTTTATTTTTTTAACAAATGGTGGTGCCACTTTGGAGCTACATTGGCGTTCACAGATATTCGGTTCATAGTTTCTGTGATTGTCAATAAACCTCTGTTTCTCTCTCTGCTGTTTATACCATTTTTTGTTGTTGTTGTTGTTCTCTTGATTTCGTACAACATACTTTATATTTTTTTTCTTTTTCTTCCAAAATTCATTTCTTTTCTGATTTCGTTTCTTCTTAGGCTTCATTTCTGTTTTTTGTTTTATTTATTTTTCTCCACTTTGCTCCAGATTCTATTTGTACCCAATCAACTTCAGTTTAGTACTCATAACACTTTCCGTTGACGAATTCTTTTTTTTTCTTTTTTTTTTTTAGCTTCCTTTTCGAACTGGTTTCATTTTCGGTTTACCTCTTTCTTTCTTTCTTTCTTTCTTTCTTCATTCATTCTTTTTTTTTCAAACGTTCTTTTGTTACTATTATTCTTTTTAGCGTCTCTTTTTTTCTTTCATTTTTTTTTCATACTTTATTTCTTTTTTCATCTTCCTTTTTATTTCTTTTTTCATATTTTTTAGTAATCTTTTCTTTTCTTTTTTCCTTTATTTCTTTCATTCTTTTTCTTGTACCATTCTTTTTCATTATTTTAGTGACCATTAATTTTCGTTGTTTTTTCTTTCATTTTCCTTTCTTTCTTTTTCTATGCTTTTCTCTTCCTTTCTTTTTCTTTATTTCTTTCTTTTTCCTTTTCCTTTCTTCCTTCATTATTTTAGTGATCTTTTCTTTTCTATATTTTTCTTTCTTCCTTTCTTTCTTTCAACTGTTTCAATCTTTCTCCATTATTTTTAGCGTTCGTTTTTCTTTTTTCTTTCTTTCTGTTTTTCTTTTTCCTATTCCGTTCTTTTTTCATCATGTTCCTGTTGATCTTTTGTTTTCAATTTTTTTTCTTTCTTTCTTCATTATTTTCTATCTTCTTTTCATAATTTTCTTTCTTTCTTTTCTTCCTGTTCTTTTTTTTTCGTTATTTTCTGGTGATTTTTTGTTTTTGTTTTTCTTTCTCTCTTCCTTTCTTTCTTTCTTTATTTTTTTTTTCTTTCTTACTTACTCAGTGTCTCATTCGATATTTTTCTTTCATACCGTGTGATTCTTTATTTCTTTTTCTCTTACTGTCTGATTTTTTTTCTTTTTTCTGTTCCGTTCTTTTTTCATAATTTTCTTGTCATCTTTTGTTGTATTTCTTTGTTTCTTTCTTTCAATCCTTCTTTTTTCTTTCTTTCTTTCTTACGGCTCTTTCTTTCTTTCTTTCAACCCTTCTTTATTTATTTATTCTTTCTTTCTTTCTTTCTTTCTTTCTTTCTTTCTTTCTTTTTCTTACTGTCTCCTTTTTATTTCTTTTTCCTGTTCCGTTCTTTTCTCATTTTCGACTTTCTTTCTTTTTTCTTTCTTTCTTTCTTTCTTTTCTTTCTTTTTTTTTTTCTTTCTTTCTTTCTTTCTTTCTTCGTGTTTCAGGAACTGAGTGATCATGTCTCTCCGCAACTTTCTATTCCTTGTAAGCCCTTAGCAACCTTCCTCCCCTGTTCCATAATCTATTCCCAGTGGGTCGTCAGGTCGGTGTCCAGCCGTCTTCACCTGTCCAAATTGTCTTACAGCCACGATTTTGTTACCATTTTCCTTAAGACTTCCTGGCATTGTACAAATCGTCCCTGTAATTCTCAGCATCTTTCTACAGACACAAATAATTCCGCCAGTTTATTATTTCTGTCTCTTTCTTATTCCTCTCCTCTCTCCCTTTCCTATCACTCTCTTCTGTCTCTTTCTTATTCCTCTCCTCTCTCCATTTCCTATCACTCTCTTCTGTCTCTTTCTTATTCCTCTCCTCTCTCCCTTTCCTATCATTCTCTTCTGTCTCTTTCTTATTCCTCTCCTCTCTCCCTTTCCTATCACTCTCTTCTGTCTCTTTCTTATTCCTCTCCTCCCTCCCTTTCCTATAACTCTCTTCTGTCTCTTTCTTATTCCTCTCTTCCCTACCTTTCCTATCATTCTCTTCTGTCTCTTTCTTATTCCTCTCCTCTCTCCCTTTCCTATCACTCTCTTCTGTCTCTTTCTTATTCCTCTCCTCTCTCCCTTTCCTATCACTCTCTTCTGTCTCTTTCTTATTCCTCTCCTCCCTCCCTTTCCTATCACTCTCTTCTGTCTCTTTCTTATTCCTCTCCTCCCTCCCTTTCCTATAACTCTCTTCTGTCTCTTTCTTATTCCTCTCTTCCCTACCTTTCCTATCATTCTCTTCTGTCTATTTCTTATTCCTCTCCTCTCTCCCTTTCCTATCATTCTCTTCTGTCTCTTTCTTATTCCTCTCCTCCCTCCCTTTCCTATCACTCTCTTCTGTCTCTTTCTTATTCCTCTCCTCCCTCCCTTTCCTATCCTCTCTCTTCTGTCTCTTTCTTATTCCTCTCCTCCTCCCTTTCCTATCACTCTCTTCTGTCTCTTTCTTATTCCTCTCCTCTCTCCCTTTCCTATCATTCTCTTCTGTCTCTTTCCTTCCTTCCTCTCTTCCCTCCCTTTTCCTATCACTCTTCTGTCTCTTTCTTATTCCTCTCTTCTCTCCCTTTCCTATCACTCTCTTCTGTCTCTTTTCTCTATTCCTCTCTTCCCTCCCTTTCCTATCATTCTCTTCTGTCTCTTTCTTATTCCTCTCCTCCCTCCCTTTTCTATCACTCTCTTCTGTCTCTTTCTTATTCCTCTCCTCTCTCCCTTTCCTATCATTCTCTTCTGTCTCTTTCTTATTCCTCTCTTCCCTCCCATTCCTATCACTCTCTTCTGTCTCTTTCTTATTCCTCTCCTCCCTCCCTTTCCTATCACTCTCTTCTGTCTCTTTCTTATTCCTCTCCTCTCTCCCTTTCCTATCATTCTCTTCTGTCTCTTTCTTGTTCCTCTCTTCCCTCCCCTTTCCTATCCTCTCTTCTGTCTCTTTCTTATTCCTCTCCTCTCTCCCTTTCCTATCACTCTCTTCTGTCTCTTTCTTATTCCTCTCCTCTCTCCCTTTCCTATCATTCTCTTCTGTCTCTTTCTTATTCCTCCTTCCCCCTCCCTTTCCCTATCTTCTCTTCTGTCTCTTTCTTATTCCTCTCCTCTCTCCCCCCTTTCCTATCATTCTCTTCTGTCTCTTTCTTATTCCTCTCCTCTCTCCCTTTCCTATCATTCTCTTCTGTCTCTTTCTTATTCCTCTCCTCCCTCCCTTTCCTATCCCCTCCCTTCTCTCTTCTTCTGTCTCTTTCTTATTCCTCTCCTCCCTCCCTTTCCTATCACTCTCTTCTGTCTCTTTTCTTATTCCTCTCCTCTCTCCCTTTCCTATCACTCTCTTCTGTCTCTTTCTTATTCCTCTCCTCTCTCCTTTTCCTATCACTCTCTTCTGTCTCTTTCTTATTCCTCTCCTCCCTCGCTGTCCTATCACTCTCTTCTGTCTCTTTCTTATTCCTCTCTTCCCTCCCTTTCCTATCACTCTCTTCTGTCTCTTTCTTATTCCTCTCCTCTCTCCCTTTCCTATCACTCTCTTCTGTCTCTTTCTTATTCCTCTCCTCTCTCTTTTTCCTATCACTCTCTTCTGTCTCTTTCTTATTCCTCTCCTCCCTCCCTGTCCTATCACTCTCTTCTGTCTCTTTCTTATTCCTCTCCTCTCTCCCTTTCCTATCACTCTCTTCTGTCTCTTTCTTATTCCTCTCCTCTCTCCTTTTCCTATCCCACTCTTCTGTCTCTTTCTTATTCCTCTCCTCTCACCCTTTCCTATCACTCTCTACTCTTCATTTCTTATTCCTCTCCTCCCTCCCTTTCCTATCCCGCTCTTCTCTCACTTTCTTATTCCTCTCTTCCCTCTCTTTCCTATTCCTCTCCTCTTACTTTCTTATTCCTCCACTCTCTCTTTTTTATTCCAGTCTTTTCTCACTTTCCTATCTCTCTCTCTTCCTTTCCTATCTCTCGTCTCTCTCTAATTCATCTATTCTCTCCTTTTCTTATCCCACTCGTCTCTCACTTTCTTATTCCTCTCTTTATCTCTTTCCTATCCTTCTCTTCTCTCACTTTCCTATTCCTCCCTCTCTCTCTCTCTCTCTCTCTCTCTTTCCTATTCCGCTCCTCTGTGTCTCTTTCCTATTCCTTTCTTTTCCTTTCTTATTCCTCCCCTCTCTCTTTCCTATTCCTCTCATCTCTCTTTTAGTATTCCCTCCTCATTCTTTTCTATTCCTCTCTTTTCTCCCTTTCCTATCTCTCTCTTCTTATCCTTTCCTATCTCTCTTCTCTCTCTCTTTCTTATTCCTATTTTCTCTCCCTTTCCTCTCACTCTCTTCTGTCACTTTATAATTCCTCTATCCATCCCCCTTTCCTATCCCACTCTTCTCTCATTTTCTTATTCCTCTCTTGCCTTTCTTTCCTATCCTTCTTTTCTCTCCTTTTCCTATTCCTCGCCTCACTCGTTCCTATTCCTCCCCTCTGTCTCTCTCCTATTCCTCTCTTTTTCTTTCGTATTTCTTTCCCCTCTCTTTCCTATTTCTCTTCTCTTTTTTCCTATTCCTCTCTTTTCTCCCTTTCCTATCTCTCTCTTCCTTTCCTATCCCTCTCTCTCTCTCTCTCTCTCTCTCTTATGTCTTTAATTGTTCCTCGATTTCCCGCTCTCAATTGCTTTCTTTCTTTCGTTTCTCTTAATGCTAGAGTTATCGTAATTTGCAGAACACTCGTTCGAATGCAAATTACAAAGGAGACTATTTTAATTTTACCTTATTAAACGCTTTTATTCAAGACGCATATTGAATATTATATAAAACACTTATACTCATTTGTTATAGCAGATGAAGAAGAAGAAGACAGTAAAATAATCCGGCAGACGTAACTGACAATCACAAAGTGGGCCTTTGCGTGACAAAACTTGAATGCAGAGCAGAGAGTTTTTTTCAGTGGGTTGGCTTTAGCTACCTAGAAAAATGTAAGTCATAAAACAATGACAGCTTAGAATATTGGACGCTGTCTTCATAAAGAAACTGAATTGCTTTTATAAGCTTGAATGATCCCAAGTCAGCCACATTATTCTTGAATGCCTTTCGCTTTTCGGAAACCATTTAACGTGCTTGGCATTACAGATTCAGAATTTATTTTTATGACCGAATCACATAGCACGGAAAATGCAAAGGGTTCCATCGAGAAAGTAAGTACCTAAGTCAAAAACCGTTACTTTGTTTATCTTATTTAACAGTGTGCGATGGATAAATTGTCGTCTAAATTACGTAATACTGAAAACAACACTCGTATTTTAACAGATATATTTGCCAGCATTACACACACAAAAAAAAATTCTTGAAATACTAAAGAGTAAATTTATTCAATAAAATCGCCATTGGCTTCAACCACAGCCTCCAGACGACTTCGGAATCTCCTGCAACTCCTTGTTTAAGTTGATGAATGCTGCCATAATCCTTGCCTTCAGTTCGTCTTTCGTGTTAAAATGAGTTTTGTTGGTCGTTCACTCGACTGTGCCCCCACGCATAATAATCAAGCGGGTTGAAGTCTGGGGAGTTAGGTGGCCAGATGTAAGGGTTGATGTGGTCGCAGAAATTGCCTGACAGGCATGACTGGGTTCTCCTGCTTATGTCTCATGGAGCAGAGTCCTGTTGCCAGACATAGAGTCTCCCAGCAGCCATCCTCTTGAACCAGGGCAGCGCTACCTCCTCAAGCACATGATGTAGGCCTCCGTGTCGAGTCTGATGCCCTGCGAGAAGATGAATGGAGGCAAAACGTCGCCATCACTGGTAGTCACTCAAAACACCTTCGTCATCACTATTAGACTCATCCAACTCTTTCCGAATTTTCTGCATTGTTCTCAAATTGACACACTCCGAAATGTTCATATTGGAGTTTCCGGCGCGAATGCCAAGTAGTACAGCATGCCGTTTCCAGATTTCTGTCGGAGTGAATTACGTCATGGTGCTCTTTTTCTCACGGACTGTGCCCAACTGACCCTTCTATACTGTGCAGTCGGCAATATCAAAAACAAACAATGCGCATGCGCGAAATTAAAAATATAAAATGGCGACAATTTACCTATCTCACCTGTATTATCTTCTTTAAGAAAAGATTACGTCAACAGCGATAATTTCCGATTCATCATGCAAGTTCGCTCAAATTTTTAATCATAAACTTATTTATATACAGAAAGCCTCATACACCTTGTTAGTAAGGGCTTAAAAGTGTGAAGTAAGAAGTTTTATAGATTAATTCGATGTTTACAGTTTGTGAACTCTTTGCGGGTTATTTAAAGCGAAAAAAAGACTTTTTGGAGATAATAATGGTTTAGTGATACAAATTTTACTAATTAACCCATAACTGGGGGGAAGAAGTGGATTCAAGTGAAAATAACGAACCCAACAGGAATTGTTAATCGGTGAGCCAATTAACAATTCTGAGCCATTAGACATTACACCAACCACACATCGAAGCTTACAGCACTGGCATTTCCAAGCGGTTACCCATCTAGGTACTGAGCAGGCTCTACGTTGCTTGACTTCGGTGATCAAACGGGAACCTGTGTTTCAAAGGGATGTGGCCGCAAACATTGATTTAAGAAGTTCAAATTATAAGAATATGTTGAATAGATAATGGTTGAACCTGGACATGAAAGTTTTACGATCGTCGTTATTAAGGAAACATTATATCGGGAGTATTTCACAAACTAACAGTAGTTGGGAAGAAGCTTAGTGTATCTCTATATCCTGAACAATGGAATTCGATACGTCGATCCTGTGTCCGTGGCATGGCCTGGCCTTGTTGTGAGGGTGTTAACTGCAGGAAGCAAGGAATATAGCCCGTCAGATCATTTTTTTTAATCATTTCACACTAAGCAAAACAATAAAGACTCTAGGACGCAAGGGGTTAGGGAATATCAGAAAAACACTATTAAGGAGATTGGACAATAAAAGAAGAAGAATTTAGAAAACAAAAGATAACGATTGACATTGTAGTTAAATATTTGAAGATCAATGTTGACTGGGAAGCAAGAAGCCGAAAGAGAGTTCCACTAGCGAAAAGTTCGAGAGAAGACATTGTTAGCATAGAACTTATATGATCTACTATGAAAATAACGAGAGAGAATCGACGAGGTTTGCGACGATTCGCCTGCGAGGGAGGAATTACAGGAGGAAAATAATTCATCAGACACAAGGACGCGCATTTGAATTCCGCATGGCCAAGTGGATAAAAGCGTTGGTTGTTTGATCCAAAAAGTGACTTGAGCCAAAGAGTTAGGAGTTCAATCCCTGGCCTCGGCGGAGAGAACAAAATCTTGCAGAGTTATCAACACGAATTAACTAAAACTGAGATATCCAGAAAAGTATGGCACGTGGAACTAGAACAGTCTACCCACGTGGACTATATAAAGGGTTCGGTTCAAAATTCCAATAAATAGGAAGGCCAGAAACTTCATAAATATTACAGTAAAGATGAGGACAATAATCCTAACAATGTATATAGTATCAATACCTATATATATATATATATTGTTCAAAATCTACTATATTCCAAGGATAAGAGGGTTATCTATCTCAGTTAGTTTTTATATATATAAACATATACTGCATAGTGACAGTCGGATTCATGTCCCAATGTGATCTTCAGATTTGGTTTCATTCAAACATCTAACTGATAGTCTTCATACAGTGTTTGTTCTTATTTCCAGTCTGTCTGACTATCTATCTATCACAGCCTTTTCATATATATCTATTTATCTATCTATATATTTATCTATCTTTCACATTCTTTTATATCTATCACAGTCTGTTCATATCTATCTCAGTTTTTCATATCTATCTATCTATCTATCTATATATCTATCTGTCTTTCACATTCTTTTCATATCTATCACTACCTTTTCATATCTATCTTTCTATTTCAGTCTGTTTATATCTATCAGTTTTTCATATCTATCTATCTATCTATCTATCTATCTATCTATCTATCTATTTATCTATCTATCTATCTATCTATCTATCTATTACAGTCCCTTTCATTTCTATCTATCTATCTATCTATCATTATGTTCATATCTATCTATCTATCTATCTATCTATCTATCTATCTATCTATCTACTACAGTCACTTTCATATCTATCTATCTATCTATCTATGAGCAACTTATGTCTATTTCTCTCTGCCCCTCACAATCAAAATGTTAACGTTCCAGACGAATCGATCAATAGTTAAGAAGGAAACCCCATTAATCCTAGAAAGAACTATGATATTTATTGGATTTGAGGTTTTTTTTTTTTGTTTTGTTTTTTTCTGAAAATTGTTCGAATCGATAAACTTTATAAACTCCACCCGATAGTCTCACTGGCTTGTCCGTTGATGAACACCGACTGTTTTCACATAAGGGCATTTTTTATTCTTATTAACCAAATATCATGACTAGCAATATAGAGAAACAATATCAACTAATGTCTTTAAAAAACTGCACATATGATAAAATTTACGTAGCTAGGTAACTTCAATCGAATACTTCAAGCATATAAAGGGTGTCCATAAAGTCTTTTTTACAATTTAAAAAGTATATTACAACAGCAATTGATATATCTTAATCAGATTTGTTCTATGTACTCAGTAGTTATCAAAGTTTTTAATCACATTGCATTTGTATATTTCAGGGTACCCTGTTGATGAAAGAGGTACTTTTAAATGAACCCCTAAAATGACTACTTTTCAAGAGAAGGCACAATGCGTGTCATGGTTTATTGAAACAAAATCGGATACGCAGATTCTGCGAAGCAATAGAACTTCTTTCTATGAGGTTATGTTAAAGATATCTTTTATCGAACAAAGATACGGAACATCACTGATCTAAACCAAAAATATCATTAATGCCATTGCCACCATTGATGAGGCTATGCTACAACGAACATAACAAGAAATCGAAATTCACCTTAATGTGTTTCGTGCAGCTAATGGGGCTCATATAGAGGAGCATTAAATTGGTTAAAAATCACTTCAATATCTACTCTTCATTTTGCAACAATTTCCACATATTTCTGTTCATTTGCTTTTGTCGTATTTTTTTAATTGTAAAGAGACTTTATGGACGCCCTACACACACACACACACACACACACACACATATATATATATATATATATATATATAGTTGTCCATATAGTTACTTAAATTTAAAAAAAATATATTATACAAAGATATCTTAATCAGATTTCATCTATGTACTCACTCGTTATCAAAATGTGTATTGATGTATTTTCGGTACCCTGTTGATGATAGGGGTACTGTTAAATGAACCCCTAACATTACCCGACCGGTGGTTTGGAAGGGACGGCCAAATTCCCTGGCCACCTCGTTCACCAGATATCAATCCCCTGGAGTTCTTTCTATGAGATTATGTTAAAGATATCGTGTATCGAATAAAGATTTGGGACATAAGTGATCTAAATAAAAAGATTGATGCCATCGCCACCATTAATGAGGCTATACTAGAACGAACATAGCAAGAAACTGAAATCTATCTTGATGTGCTTCGTGCAAATAATGGTGTCCATATAGAGGTGTATTAAATTAGTTAAAAAACTTCAATATCTACTCTTTATTTTGTAACAATTTTCAAATATTTGTCTGTTCATTTGCTTTTGTAATATTTTGTAAAGAGACTTTATGGACACCCTGTATATTGAATGCCGCAGGCAAGAAGACATGCTTGAGTGAGTTTGATAAAAAAATAAGTTGTTATTGAAAAAAGAAAAAGTTTCCGAAAGGACATGGCCTGGGTTATACGTTCAGCTGTGGTGTGGCAGTGGTTTGGGGAAAGAAAATTCAGTAACCGTCATGAGGGCTGTAGGTGGCAGCTAACAGTTATTGACGCGAGAAATGGACGAAGGCTTCTCTCGCCTCATACGAACGATCAGCACTGTGGCGCAACCCTCAAAGAGCTTTAATCGATATGAAGAACGGAATGCCTGACGACAGAGTATATTGATCCTTGTTGTCTTTGACGCTGAATAGCTGCAAGGCAAGCAGTGTTTGTATGCTATTTGATATCCATTACTGAAAGCGTCTTCGCCGAGCAATCGAACCTCGGAACGGGATATTGTCTCGATGAAACATGGTCATCAGTTTCAATAAGTCTCATTTTCTCTAGTACAATATATATAGGACTGGACACTGAGTGTTGTTATCCTGGGGGAGAGATGTCACTATGTAGCAATGTAGAAAAATAAGCTACTGATGTAAGAGGGATGGTTTAGACACAATTTTGCTAGAAAATGCCATCATTTATGCGGAATGTAGCTTATTGCATACTCTCTAACTGAATATCATTGAAGGCCAAGAACACACTTTCATAACAAAACGATTCTATAATGGAACTGGATTCTTTCATTAGAATAGATCGTCTTTCACACTGCACGAGTTCTGTTGGCAGGGTTACAGGAACCCCAAGAGACTCTAGGATTTGATCTAGAAACTTCTTGGATTTTGATTCGACTGAGTAATTATTATGCACGTTGTGCTCAACAAAATCATCATTGCGTAAACTACAGGAGTTAAAGAACCTGCTGTAAATATCCGGCTACCAAGTCACAGATGGCACTTTCAGAGGATTGCCGATATATATATATATATATATATATATATATATATATATATATATATATATATATATAATAAAAGGCTTAAAACTAATATTCCATGGTCATAATTTATTCCATTGGAATTGTAAATACAATCAATTCATCAGACCTACAAATTCAAAAAGAAAAACAGAAAAAACAACCCCGGAAATAAAAACAAATTTAGAGAAATGTAAGTATGAGGGGTAACATATCTAGATAAGGGGGAGATTAAACCTTAACAGAGAGAATTTTAATAAAGGTGTGTGGAAGGGTTTAAGTAAGAGAAATATGAATGTTGTCGGATGTCTTATGCATAAAGATACATTTCCACTTGACATACACACCATGGACGATCTAAAGTTGAAGATCAGAATAAGAGGGAGGGAAAGACGAGGTGGGGGAGAGATGGGGGAAGGAAAGTAAACTTGAACGACATTTACTGAAAGGGCCGCTGTGTAATTGAGAAAAATTTGAAAAATTTAATATCGACTTTAGGTTACAAATCAAATATAAACATATAAAAAATAAATATAACGATTATCTAATCTAGCAAGGACCTATATTTCTATGTTCAAACACACATGCGAATACACACATACACAATAACATATACACCTATATACATACACATAGGCGTGTATATATATATATATTCATACGCCTTATTTTTCTTCCTTCTCAAAATCTTTCCCACTTTCTTTTTTATTCATTTTTTTTATTTGACCTTTTATGGTGTTATATCTTTATTGTTTATAGATATTTGTCTTTCTTTACATGATTTTCTTTCTTCGATTTCTTTCTTTCTTATTTCTGTCTTATTTTTCTTTCTTTTTTGTTTTTGACGTGTTATCTTTATTTTTCATCGCGATCTTTTTTGTAGTTTGCTTTTTCTTTCCTTCTTTTTCTCTTTCTTTCATTAAAGTCTCGTCTTCTTTCTTTCTAACATTTAATTTCTTTTCTTTTTCTCGTTCGACGTTTGTCTGTTCATTCTTTCTTTCTCTCTTTCGTTTCTCTCTTTATTTCAAGCCTTGACTTTTACTTTTCTTTTTCTTTGTTTCTTTATTTCTTTCACATTTTGTCTTTTTTTTTCATTGTGAATAACTTTCTATTTTGATTTAACTATTTTCGAGCTTTTTCTTTCGTTCTTTCTTTCGACCTTTGTCTTTTCTTTCCTTCTTTCTTTTTTCTTTCTTTCTTTCTTCCCTTGTCTATTTTCATTTTCTTTTTCCAAACTTTGTCTTTTATATCCATCCTTCTTTCTTTCTTTCTTTCTTTCTTTCTTTCTTTTCTTTCTTTCATTTAACCGTTGTTTATTCTTATTTTGGTTCTTTCTTTCTTTTTCATTCTTTCTTTCTTTTTCTTTCTTTCTTTCTTTCTTTTTCTTGTTTTTTTTTCTTTTATGGTGATGAACTTTCTACTTTGTTTTTTTTTATTTTCGAACTTTTCTTTCTTTCTTTCTTTCTTTGTCTTTTCTTTCTTTATAGTGTTTCCTTTCTTTTCTTTCTTCCTTTGAAGCTTCGTCTTTTCTTTCTTTCTTTCTTCCCTCGATCTTTGCCTTTCCTTTCTTTCGCGCATTGTCTATTCATTCTTTCTTCTTTCATTTTTCTCGCTTCGTCTTTTCTTTTCTTTCTTCATTTCGGACTTTGTCTTATTTTCTTTCTTTCTTTCTTTCTTTTCTCACTAACTCATTTTCTCAAGCAGACTTCCCAGGAAGAGTTCGAGGTTTTATGGATTTCATGATTGATCGATTCGGAGATACTTTGCTCGTGGGCATAAGGAGAACCCACAAACTATAGGCACGGCGTCACTATATTTCCACCGATCAGTGTCTCTAAAGTAAGAAATATTTAAGAAAAGGCCGTTAAAACGACAATTGTTTTAATATCACGAATTAATATCAGTACGACAAATGCACTCGAAGGCAATTTTTATATTTGTTGTTTCCTATTCGTTGGAATATCACTGCAGTCGTATCTTCTCGATCACCCCGTTTCCATAGGTCGCAATTTCTTCAAAATAAGGTGAAGGGCTGTATACAAATCCTTTCTGATCCCCAGGAATTGACGGCCCCATAAAGAACCCTAGAACAGACGTTGGTAAAAACTGTACGATGCAATATGTGTACCGCCGACTGAATATCATTCACGGCCAAAAAAGCTTTTTCATAGCAAAAATTTATCAAGATGGTATTGGTATGAGTCGGTTGGAATAATTCCTTAACCGATTTCATTCAATGTTTCCGAGGTGGGTTCACTGAAATTTTCAATCCACCATCTCTAATATTACAACTGAACCGCAAAAAGAAGTAAAATTTAGAGTAAAATTTAATTATGATTAAATTTAGTTATTAACATGATAATTAAATAGAGAAGAAAAACTTTCGGGAATAGAAAGTCTCTTTAGCCCAAAGGAAGCACGAAAATTAGTTTTGAAAATGGTACGCGATCTTCAATTTCTAAGCAATCCTTTAAAATCTAGAGCATGTTCCCAAACCTTTGGCTTATCGTACATAGTAAGTTAATGTCTCATTAAGTCCTGTTAGTGAAGTGATTTCACTATTATTCTCATTAACATTTCCTATTTAATTCTTTGTATAAATGGATTCTTTATGATATAAAATATAATCTGCACCATTGTCTAATCTATGGTCTACATATATATAAAGCGATATATATATATATATATATATATATATAATATACAACAGATTTCCCAGGAAAGGATATATTTGTTCGAAGCCATTGTTGAAAGAGTAAGAGGGTAGGACGATTTCAGTAGGTAACCGTAATGGACTGCTCCTTTTCGTAAACTGGTAAGAATGCAAAGAATTTGTCGTTAATTAAAGAAACACTGGTTTTATTGACGAAAACCAAATCAATCTGTATTATATGACATTTTCCAATCATATTACTTTTTTGGGGGAAATAAGGTGTATGCATATTCATTAAATCAATATATATATATAAATATAAATATATCTATTTTATGTGTTTTTATATATATATATATATATAAATTTGTGTGTGTGTGTGTGTGTGTACATTTCAAACATTGTCGTTCAATATTTTGATCAATAATTTCATGGATGAGAGTTTGAAAAAACAATAGGTTATAGTAATACATTAGATTTGTTATATTTTTACCCGCAAATATATATATATATATATATATATATATATATATATATATATATATATATATATCGTCTGTGTTTATTTTCTGTCCGTTTATTTACTGTGTGCGTAAATTTAAATATCATATATGAAATTAGACCTGAATAGCCGACAACACATGGATAAGTTTATATATATATATATATATATATATATATATATATATATATATATATATAAATAAATTCCTTAAATTGTTAGAAATGTCTGTAAATTCTTTAAAAAAAGACTAAGGCTATCAGAACATTTTTTGAAGAAGAAAATAATGATAAATCGCTCTAAAAAACAAATAAGATTATCAATCCCCAAATGGCAAAAATGCAACCCTTGACGAATTCTGTAATTACATCACGAGCTTCCCAAACTGGAAATGCCCCAAACACAGTCTAATTTCATCAGACAACAATGGAACCAACTGAACAATCTAAAACTGGACAAAAATATTGTTATAAAAGAAGCTGACAAAGGAGGCGCAGTTGTTATTATGAATACAAAACAATGCGCAAGAATCATAGAAATGATGCCACAGGACGATACCTACCATGAAGAAACCAGACAATACCAACCTCATAATTCAATACAGGGGTCGGCAACTGATTCGACCCCGCGGGCCGGATCGTGTTATAATGACGGGTCGCGGGCCGGACGAAGGCCATTAATGAAAAAAATTAAGGAAAATTACATATGCAGACCCTGTCAACCTAAAATTATATTTAAAACCATAATGAAAATAAACATTGAGAAATCAGAAAACAAAAGAAAATCTAAAATTAAAAAAACACCTAACAAAAAATTACTTTTCTTCAAGGAACGTCAAAATACTTCAAAGTGAAAAAAAATCAACCAAAGTGAAATGGATGAAATTATGACGTGTAGGTTTGAAACTGTTATTGAAAATTGTTCCACAAACAGAACCACACACACACACATCAAACAAAAACGAAGCACATATACCCATACATACGAGTACAAATAGTTGTAAACATATACACTTACGTACGTACACATGCGGTATCATCCACACATTCATGAGGCATGTATGTATAATGCGCGTATGTTTAACTGTCTTTAGATTTCTGCTACCTCACAGGTCAGTCCCTCCCTGGCCTCTTTCACTTTATCGTTCCTTTCGCTTCTGTTATCTTTTAATGTAGCCAAGGGTCATAATAAATATGTATCCATTATTTGACATTTAAACGTAGGCAACGCAACTTGGTAAAATAAGTCTCATGAAAGATAACTGGCAGATAGTCTAATTCGAAAGCCTCGTCTCTCATGTTAAAAATAGAATCATTGGTAATCAGGCTCGCGGGGTGGTCAAAATGCCTTCGCGGGCCGGATCCGACCCGCGGCCGTAGTTTGCTGACCCTTGATTTAATATATCCATGCCGAGGTTTTTTAACTTCTTAGTAAGGTGACTATCTTAACAACTTCGAATGTAAAACAAGGAATGTTTATGGGCTCCCTAAACTACACAAAAGTAAACTCATCAACGAAACATGCAATATAAAAAGAACAAAAAACGATTGTGTTAATATACCAGCAACAACCGATCTAAAACTAAGACCTATAATAGCAGAGCTCCAATAATCTCCTAGGCATCCTATTGAAACCTCTCATCAATCCCTCTCTGATCTCCATATGCTCTGGATTTTCTCAACCATCTACCAAACTAGGTAAACCATAATACTTACATAGTCTCAATGAATGATGTGAACCTCTATAGCGGAACCCAACACGAATACGGAATAGAGGCTAGAAACGTTCCCACTTGACCTACCCAACCGTATCAATAGAAAGCCTTGAATGCATCTTAAAGACAACTATTTCTTGCTCAATGAAACAAGTCAGGAACAGCCACGGAGACAAAAGGTGCGCCAACAAATTCAAAAAGAAAACAGAAAAGAACAACTCCGGAAATAAAAATAGAATTTAGAGAGTGTGGGGCGAATGTCAGTGTTAAAGAGAGGGGTAACAAACGAGAGAAGGTGGGAGACTAAAACTTAACAGAGAGGGGTTTATTTACTAGAGGTGAATGGAAGGGGAAAATATGAATGTTGTCGGATGTCTAATACATTAAAGATACATTTCGTGGCGACAGGTTGTTTCATGCTGGACGCAATCGTCAGGCCGCCTGCTACTGATGGCCTGACGATATATATATATATATATATATATATATATATATATATAGACCTTTTCATATATATATATATATAGTCCTTTTCATATATTTATATATACTCCTTTACATTATATATATATATATATATATATTTATATATATATATATATGTGTGTGTGTGTGTGTGTGTGTGTCTGTATATATATATATATATATAATGAAAAGGTCTAACTCCGGCAATTATTTTATCATGTTTTCTGTTTATATGTTATTTTTGTAGATGCGAATATTTAAGTAAATATTCTGTTCATAAGAAACAGTATTAACAACATTTACCGGCCTGAACGTCCGAGAAATTTTTCGGATATTCAGGCCTGTAAATATTGCTGATATTGTTTATTATAAAAAGGCCATTTACTTAAATATCTATGAAAATAACGTATAAACAAAAAATATATTTATATATATATATATATATATATATATATATATATATATGGGCAAAAATGTATGACAAAGTAGAAAAGATTTTTGTGACGCGTTGTTATGTTGGTGCGACTCCACATTTTGCACGAACGAGGGACGCTGGGAATTTTAAATTTAAAAAATAACAATTATATCAGCTCGTTCGTTCGCTTGTGTAGCCGCCTGAATATAATATAATTCAGTGGGATGTAACTGCCTAGAGAGTACATTTCACCACACTTGGCAGATCTTCTAATATCGCAGTGTGGGATACATACTAACAAAAGTGATTTGAAGTCGTCCAGATATTAAAAAAAAATCTTAAAATTGTAGCACCTCTCGTTTGCGTGCATATGTACGAACACAACCAATTTAGACCTATGAAATCGCAAGTAAACTCTTCCCACTTTGTCATTCAATTCCCCCAATACTCTTTTTGATATATAAAACTATATGTTGTTATCTCATATATATATATATATATATATATATATATATATATATAATTTTAATTATTTTTAAAAATATGATCCCATCGCTACATAAGAGTTCACATGTTTGAAAAACAGAAGCTAAAAACTTCAATTTAATTATAGAAATTAAATTAAATTAATCTACCTTGTTCTGTTTCATCCTCAAGCGAATTTTAAAAAATAAATTTTGAAATTTACGGATCTTTTTATAAGCACATATATATATATATATATATATATATATATATATATATATATATATATATATTAAGAATGGATTAATTCTGTGATATTTTTTAATTTATTTGTTTAAACGTTGTTTTTTAATAGATACTTATTTGCTTAAATAATAGCGTTTAAACAAATAAATTAAAAAAATATCTTTTAAACAAATAATTTAGAAAGGGGCGGGAGGCAAGGATATGTCTTCTCACCGGACCTATTCAACCTATACAGCGAGGTAATTCTAAGATAATTGAAGATCCTACCAGGATTTAGCATTGG